CAAGTAATTTATAAAATACGAAACTGGCTCCCGTGTAAAACCAATTTTATGAAACTAGCGAATAGTTGTGGTATCTGACTCGCTTTCGCTCATCAGATACCACAACTATTCACTCGTTTCATAAAATTGGTATTACACGGGAGCTCGTTTAGTATTCTATATGTCTGTATCTCTATGTCAGTGTCTATGTGTCTGTATCTCTATGTCAGTGTCTATGTGTCTGTATCTCTATGTCAGTGTCTATATCTCTATGTCAGTGTCTATATGTCTGTATCTCTATGTCAGTGTCTATGTGTCTGTATCTCTATGTCAGTGTCTATGTGTCTGTATCTCTATGTCAGTGTCTATATGTCTGTATCTCTATGTCAGTGTCTATATGTCTGTGTCTCTATGTCAGTGTCTATGTGTCTGTATCTCTATGTCAGTGTCTATATGTCTGTATCTCTATGTAAGTATCTCTATGTCAATGTCTCTATGTCAGTGTCTATATGTCTGTATCTCTATGTCAGTGTCTATATGTCTGTATCTCTATGTCAGTGTCTATATGTCTGTATCTCTATGTAAGTATCTCTATGTCAATGTCTCTATGTCAGTGTCTATATGTATGTGTCTCTATGTCAGTGTCTATGTGTCTGTATCTCTATGTCAGTGTCTATATGTCTGTATCTCTATGTAAGTATCTCTATGTCAATGTCTCTATGTCAGTGTCTATATGTATGTGTCTCTATGTCAGTGTCTATATGTCTGTGTCTCTATGTCAGTGTCTATATGTCTGTGTCTCTATGTCTATATGTCTCTATGTCAGTGTCTATATGTATGTGTCTCTATGTCAGTGTCTATATGTCTGTGTCTCTATGTCAGTGTCTCTATGTCAGTGTCTATATGTATGTGTCTCTATGTCAGTGTCTATATGTCTGTGTCTCTATGTCAGTGTCTATATGTCAGTGTCTCTATGTCTATATGTCTCTATGTCAGTGTCTATATGTATGTGTCTCTATGTCAGTGTCTATATGTCTGTGTCTCTATGTCAGTGTCTATGTGTCTGTATCTCTATGTCAGTGTCTATGTGTCTGTATCTCTATGTCAGTGTCTATATGTCTGTATCTCTATGTCAGTGTCTATATGTCTGTGTCTCTATGTCAATGTCTATGTGTCTGTATCTCTATGTCAGTGTCTATATGTCTGTATCTCTATGTCAGTGTCTATATGTCTGTGTCTCTATGTCAATGTCTATGTGTCTGTATCTCTATGTCAGTGTCTATATGTCTATATGTCTCTATGTCAGTGTCTATATGTCTGTGTCTCTATGTCAGTGTCTATATGTCTGTATCTCTATGTCAGTGTCTCTATGTCTATATGTCTCTATGTCAGTGTCTATGTGTCTGTATCTCTATGTCAGTGTCTATATCTCTATGTCAGTGTCTATATGTCTGTATCTCTATGTCAGTGTCTATATGTCTGTATCTCTATGTCAGTGTCTATATGTCTGTGTCTCTATGTCAATGTCTATGTGTCTGTATCTCTATGTCAGTGTCTATATGTCTATATGTCTCTATGTCAGTGTCTATATGTCTGTGTCTCTATGTCAATGTCTATGTGTCTGTATCTCTATGTCAGTGTCTATATGTCTATATGTCTCTATGTCAGTGTCTATATGTCTGTGTCTCTATGTCAGTGTCTATATGTCTGTATCTCTATGTCAGTGTCTCTATGTCTATATGTCTCTATGTCAGTGTCTATGTGTCTGTATCTCTATGTCAGTGTCTATGTGTCTGTATCTCTATGTAAGTATCTCTATGTCAATGTCTCTATGTCAGTGTCTATGTGTCTGTATCTCTATGTCAGTGTCTATATGTCTGTGTCTCTATGTCAGTGTCTATATGTCTGTGTCTCTATGTCAGTGTCTATGTGTCTGTGTCTCTATGTCAATGTCTATATGTCAGTGTCTATGTGTTTATGTCTATGTCTATATGTGTTTATGTTCATATGACTATATGTCTGTGTCCCTATGTCAATGTCTATGTTTATGTCTATATGTCTATGTATATATGTTGATGTCTGTCTTTATGTCTATGTGTATGTCTATATGTGTATGTCTATATGTGTATGTTGATATGTCAATGTCTATGTTTATGTCTATATGTCTATGTATATATGTTGATGTCTGTCTTTATGTCTATGTGTATGTCGATATGTGTATGTCTATGTGTATGTCTATATGTGTATGTCTATATGTGTATGTTGATATGTCAATGTCTATGTTTATGTCTATATGTCTATGTATATATGTTGATGTCTGTCTTTATGTCTATGTGTATGTCGATATGTGTATGTCTATGTGTATGTCGATATGTGTATGTCTATGTGTATGTCTATATGTGTATGTCTATGTGTATGTCTATATGTGTATGTCTATATGTGTATGTCTATGTGTATGTCTATATGTGTATGTCTATATGTGTATGTCTATGTGTATGTCGATATGTATATGTCTGTCTTTATGTCTATATTTCTATATGTGTATGTCTATGTGTATGTCGATATGTATATGTCTGTCTTTATGTCTATATTTCTATATGTGTATGTCTATATGTGTATGTCTATATGTGTATGTGTATGTCTATATGTCAATGTCTATATCTGTGATTCAGAGAAATCGTGTAAAGTTGTAAACTAACTTTGTCTGACGTAATGCATCTTATAAACACAAATATATCTTTGATTGCCTGACCGTCAGATTCAAAACAGTCACTAATGGACCCCCTCCCCCAACATACAATGAAACAAGGGATTAAAAGATTCTCACAACAACATTGTATCCTTTGTGCAGGCTTTCATAACAAAGATACACAACATTCAACATTCAATTCTTTATTTACCTTTATCTTTACAGATAATCACGGTTGTTGACAGATGTGGACAGATTGGTGCAGGTTGACATGGTTGATAAGAAGACCCTTAAAGGGGCATTGTACCCTATCCCTGGTTCCCTAACCCCAAGACTCTAAAAGGGGCATTGTACCCTATCCCTGGTTCCCTAACCCCAAGACTCTAAAAGGGGCATTGTACCCTGCCCTGGTTCCCTAACACCAAGACTCTAAAAGGGGCATTGTACCCTATCCCTGGTTCCCTAACCCCAAGACTCTAAAAGGGGAATTGTACCCTATCCCTGGTTCCCTAACACCAAGACTCTAAAAGGGGCATTGTACCCTATCCCTGGTTCCCTAACCCTAAGACTCTAAAAGGGGCATTGTACCCTATCCCTGGTTCCCTAACCCCAAGACTCTAAAAGGGGCATTGTACCCTGCCCTGGTTCCCTAACACCAAGACTCTTAAAGGGGCATTGTACCCTATCCCTGGTTCCCTAACCCCAAGACTCTAAAAGGGGCATTGTACCCTATCCCTGGTTCCCTAACCCCAAGACTCTAAAAGGGGCATTGTACCCTATCCCTGGTTCCCTAACCCCAAGACTCTAAAATGGGCATTGTACCCTATCCCTGGTTCCCTAACCCCAAGACTCTAAAAGGGGCACTGTACCCTATCCCTGGTTCCCTAACCCCAAGACTCTAAAAGGGGCATTGTACCCTGCCCTGGTTCCCTAACACCAAGACTCTTAAAGGGGCATTGTACCCTATCCCTGGTTCCCTAACCCCAAGACTCTAAAAGGGGCATTGTACCCTATCCCTGGTTCCCTAACCCCAAGACTCTAAAAGGGGCATTGTACCCTATCCCTGGTTCCCTAACCCCAAGACTCTAAAAGGGGCATTGTACCCTATCCCTGGTTCCCTAACCCCAAGACTCTAAAAGGGGAATTGTACCCTGCCCTGGTTCCCTAACACCAAGACTCTTAAAGGGGCATTGTACCCTATCCCTGGTTCCCTAACCCCAAGACTCTAAAAGGGGCATTGTACCCTATCCCTGGTTCCCTAACCCCAAGACTCTAAAAGGGGCATTGTACCCTATCCCTGGTTCCCTAACCCCAAGACTCTAAAAGGGGCATTGTACCCTATCCCTGGTTCCCTAACCCCAAGACTCTAAAAGGGGAATTGTACCCTATCCCTGGTTCCCTAACACCAAGACTCTAAAAGGGGCATTGTACCCTATCCCTGGTTCCCTAACCCTAAGACTCTAAAAGGGGCATTGTACCCTATCCCTGGTTCCCTAACCCCAAGACTCTAAAAGGGGCATTGTACCCTATCCCTGGTTCCCTAACCCCAAGACTCTAAAAGGGGCATTGTACCCTGCCCTGGTTCCCTCACCCCAAGACTCTAAAAGGGGCATTGTACCCTATCCCTGGTTCCCTAACCCCAAGACTCTAAAAGGGGAATTGTACCCTATCCCTGGAGATCCCTAACCCCAAGACTCTCAAAGGGGCATTGTACCCTATCCCTGGTTCCCTAACCCCAAGACTCTAAAAGGGGAATTGTACCCTATCCCTGGTTCCCTAACACCAAGACTCTAAAAGGGGCATTGTACCCTATCCCTGGTTCCCTAACCCCAAGACTCTAAAAGGGGCATTGTACCCTATCCCTGGTTCCTTAACCCCAAGACTCTAAAAGGGGCATTGTACCCTATCCCTGGTTCCCTAACCCCAAGACTCTAAAAGGGGAATTGTACCCTATCCCTGGTTCCCTAACACCAAGACTCTAAAAGGGGCATTGTACCCTATCCCTGGTTCCCTAACAACAAGACTCTAAAAGGGGCATTGTACCCTATCCCTGGTTCCCTCACCCCAAGACTCTAAAAGGGGCATTGTACCCTGCCCTGGTTCCCTCACCCCAAGACTCTAAAAGGGGCATGGTAGCCTATCCCTGGTTCCCTAACACCAAGACTCTAAAAGGGACATTGTACCCTATCCCTGGTTCCCTAACCCCAAGACTCTAAAAGGGGCATTGTACCCTGCCCTGGTTCCCTCACCCCAAGACTCTAAAAGGGGCATTGTACCCTATCCCTGGTTCCCTAACACCAAGACTCTAAAAGGGACATTGTACCCTATCCCTGGTTCCCTCACACCAAGACTCTAAAAGGGGCATTGTACCCTATCCTTGGTTCCCTAACCCCAAGACTCTAAAAGGGGCATTGTACCCTATCCCTGGTTCCCTAACACCAAGACTCTAAAAGGGGAGCCTACCCAGTCTGGAACAGACTTGTTACATCGAGACATATTTTGTGGTGCGACACAGCACAGCACGGCACGGCCACGGCACGGCATTGGGAGTTCACAGGCATGGAGCTGTATCATCAGGTAGACATGAACAAGCCATCAGGCAAGACCTGAAATGAGAATTTGAATCTCAGACCTGAGCAAACATGTTTCTCTTCTTCAATACTGAATAACAGAATAACAGTATAACAGAATAACGGAAGTTTATTGGGCCAGGCGGCCTCCAGTACAGGTTTCACTAGTTTTTAGAATATGTATACATATTAACACATATCAACACTTACTGTGCATAATCATTCTTCTAAAATGCACAAATATCAGTATGGAAAAGTGTTATCTAACCATTAGGGTTATGACAAAGACCCCTTGACTTTCATGCTTAATTTGAACACTCCAAAGGGCATGTAAAACTGTTCTGGACAATCAGTACCAGGCCTCAAAGTTTAAATTTCTACCAAGTAGCCATTAGGCTACAAGCATTTTTTACCAGGTAGCCAGTGGTAAAGTCAAGAAGTCAAGCCAATATTGTAGGCAGCCAAAAGCATTTGAAATTATCTTTTATCAAATAAGTATTATAATATGTACAAGTAATAGTACTAGTCTTGAAATTGTATAATAGTGGAGACAACTTGATTTTTGTTATTTGTGACTCAAACAATGATGCAATTTACATTACTAGATTATTTAGGTATATCCTTGCTTATCAAATGAACCTTGTCAACTGAAATAAAATACTAATTACATTAATATTTAGGTATTTCTGTTCATTGTCGACTTAAGGAGGAATTATACGAAAGTACAATTATTAGCAGACATGTTTTCCACAATCACCTATTATATATTTTTGTGTCTTCAAATGTGAAGCAATAGAATTTAGTCGTCACAAGATATTTTTCATGGTAGTCATTTGGCTACCTCTGAATTGTAGACAGTAGACAAATTTGAAATTTAGGTCGAATTGGCGACTGTTTTAGTGGCAATCACCCGATCTACCCATGTGAACAATCACCATCCACCCAGGATGAAAATCACCCATCCATCCAGGTAAACAATCACCATCCACCCAGGTAAACAATCACCCATCCACCCAGGTAAACAATCACCAATCCACCCAGGTAAACAATCACCATCCACCCAGGATGTTAATTACCCATCTACCAAGGTGAACAATCACCCATCCACCTGCCCTGGTTTGTTTGTCGTTTGTTTGTTTAACGATGCACTCAGCAATATTCCAGCTATATGACGGTGGTCTGTAAAGTCTGGACCAGATAATCCAGTGATTGACATCATGAGCATCGATCCACGCAATTGGGAAATGATGACATCATCAACCAAGTCAGCGAGGCTGACCCCCCGAGTGAAGGGATGAATGCGTGGGTGGGTGAATGAATGGGTGAGTGGCTGTATGAGTGAGTGGGTGAATGAAGGGGTGGGAGGCCGAGTGAATTGGTGAAGGGGTGAGTGAAGGGGTGGGTGGATGGTTTAGGGAATGGGTGAGTGGGTTGATGAGGGGTCGAAGGGATTGGTGGGTAAGTGAATGAAGGGGTGTGTGGGTGTATTGGAGAGTGAAGAAGTGAATGGGTGGGTTGATGGGTAAGTGAGGGGTGGGTGGGTGGATAGGTGGGTGGGTGGGTGGGTGAGTTAAGGGGTGGGTGGATGGGTGAGTGAACGGATGGATGGATGGGTGGTTTAGGGTCATGATCAGTGAAGGGGTAATTGGGTGTGTGAGTGAGTGCTGAATATCCTAGCTATTTTGTTGACCGCCTGTAAATAATCTAGTCAGGATAAGGCAAACCAATGACAGATAGCATGAGAAACAATCCCACCCATTGGGGAATGATGACCTCTGTTGACCTTGACATTCACTCAAAATCCTCCCAGCACCACACTACACCATAGACATCATGAATATTAAATTTCAGAAAATGCAGAACATAAAAACTCCTGGTTGACAACGAATGGCTTTCCGGTAAGAAGAAATATCCACTTGGTGAAAAACTAACTGGAGGTTAATTAATGATGGAGTCATTTGTGTTTCGTGTATTGAGGTCAACAAGAAAAGGAGGACTCAGGGTTTCCTCTCTTTCAAAATTAGTGTGAAAATCTTCAGGGGAACAGAAAGATAACAAGAAAGAAGTGAGTAAAGCTCACATACCCCCGTTATCCCCGCTGGTCAACAACAAATAGTAAATAGTTTGTTAATTAATGAAATATACCTGTTGCTTTAAGTCAGAGGAACTGCCCTTTCCTTTGTAACCCATGAGGATGCATATGTTTGAAATGAACACATGTTTTTGCAAATATATTTCAATCTAGTGTGGGATAATCAATGCTTAGCACATAATACATTTTTGATGTTTCTTAATGTGTCCATGGAAACGGCAAAAATTAAAAAATTCAGAATCTTCAAACTAGCAAAAGGCACAAGTACTCATTGTGGTACATGGGTGTAGCACGTTTGGTGAAGCTAGGGTGCATGGTTAAAATGTTATGGGCCGTACAAAAGCTCGGACGGAAGGACGGACGGACGGACGGAAGGAGGAACAGACGGATTGCTATATACCCCCAATTTACTTCTAAACAGGGGTATAACAAGACAGTCCTATATAACTTGTGTGCTGAACACAAACTGGGCAGAATTTGAATCTTAAATAGACAAACTGATTGTTAGCAATCCATTAATTCCACCATGGTATTGGTAGATTTCAGTGCCATGTAAAAGCACTTCAGATCATCCCCTCCAAGTTCAGCTAAGATCCAAATGTTCACAGCTCGTGAAAAACTAGATCTCCGTGAGTGAGTATGACTTTATGTCACTTGTCCATGCAATGTCCCAGCAATGTTCCAGCAATGTCCCAGCAATGTTCCAGGAATGTCTCAATGTCCCAGCAATGTCCCAGCAATGTTCCAGCAATGTTCCAGGAATGTCTCAATGTCCCAGCAATGTTCAAGCCATGTTCCAGGAATGTCTCAATGTCCCAGCAATGTCCCAGCAATGTCCCAGCAATGAACTAATCATCTTTAAGTCCAACTTGATGAGAGAACTTCTATCTAATCTGACTGTCCATATACAAGATTAGTTATCGAGCTATCAAAACAATACCATGGAATTGGGATTCGGAACTTTGAATTTCAAAAGTTGTTGCCATGGAAACGGAAAAGATATAAATTCTAAACACCCATAAGTAGCAAATGGCACCGTTTGGCAACCTGGTCTCTGTGTGTGCAGTTTCAAGAAAGAATACCTATTCGTTTTAGAGATATGGTCCAGTCAAACACACTACTATGAACAGAGTCAAAGTTAAACTCGTTGCCATGGAAACAGGAAACATTAATATCTTTAATTTCATATAAAACAGCAAAAGGCACCACTTTAGCCCTTGATTAATATACGTACCAAGTTTGGATTAAAAATTTTGAAAAGCTTTTCAGTTCTTCCCCGGAAATGACACCAACCTCCCTTTCAGCTAAGTTTTATTTGTTTCCACAGGAAACAGTGAAATATATCAAATTTTGATAAACTTCTAAATAGCAAAAGGCACCACTTAAGCCAATGGTTAATACATGTACCAGGTTTGGATGAAAAGTCTTTCACAGTTTTCAAGTTGTGCTCTCGAAACGACACCGACCCCCACCCTTTTTGAGACTAAGTCTAAATTGTTTCCATGGAAATCAAGAAAATTAAAAATGCCAAATATCCGCAAATAGGAAAAGGCACCACTTCAGGATCTGTTTGACACATCTGGCAAGTTTCGCTGAAAATATCGGACAGTTTTTGAGCTGTGCCCCGGAAACAAAATTCATCCCACCTTTAGAGACTAAGTCCATACTGTTTCCATGGAAACCGAGAAAAACTAAAAAATGGCCAAAATCAGTAAACATTAAAAGGCAGCACTTCTGGATCTGTTTGATATTTCTGCCAAGTTTTGTTGTAAAATATATCAGATTTTTTTAGTTGTGCTCCAGAAATGAAATGATTACAGAAGGACGGACAGACAAGGCGTCGACTATATTACACACACAACTTCTCCCCCCCCCCCATAACAAGGCGACCTAATATGTGAGGAATCAATCCAAGGACTTTATTGTGACCAGAGAATGCCACCTTCCCAGCTGACTTACAGGTTTTTTTCATGTCTTCAGACGTTTGATTCCAACAGAATTACACAAACAGTTTACACATGTACAAAATCTTAAATCTCAAACTTTGCAACAAAGAAGAGTTCCCTGCAGGTAGATTAAGAGCAAGATGGCCAAAATCAGTAAACATTAAAAGGCACCACTTCAGGATGTGTTAGATACATCTGCCAAGTTTTGTTGTAAAATATATCAGGTTTTTTGAGTTGTGCTCCAGAAATGAAATGATAACAGATGGACGGACAGACAAAGGGCTGACAGACTGACAGACAGACACGGTGTCGACTTTATTACACACACACAACTTCTCCGCCCCCCCCATTATATGCCGGGGGAATAACACATGTACAAAATTTTAAATCTCTAACTGTGCAACAAAAAGAGTACACTGAAACTATTGGTTACCAGGCAGGTAGATTAAGAGCAAGATGAAAGCTAAATGCACAGTCTGCAAGTTTAGCCACTGGCCCCAAGCCCGCATCAAGTGATGTGCTGTTCAGTCTAGTAGGCTCAGCTAATAAAAATCTTTACGATAACACTAAAATGTACAAAACATGATACTTCGGCCAAGATAGTACTACAAGGGTCAAGTGTTTGATCTAATAAAAGTCCATACGATTACACTAAAATGTACAATACTACTACTACTACTACTACTACTACTACTACTACTACTCCAGGATTATAACAATCAGTCAATGACTGGGACAGGTCGGTATATCCGTCAGTTCGTTATAAACCTGTTCACTACAAATGTAATTTGCTCTGAATGTGTTTGTGTGAGTGTGTGTGTGTGTGTGTGTGTGTGTGTGTGTGTGCGTGCGTGTGCGAGCGTGCGTGCGTATGTGTGTGTGTGCATGTAAACCTCTCTCACAATGCCCTGTAATCGAAGACACTCTGTAGCCTAGATCTACCAATGTCATGATGTATCAAGTCAGTGTAAAGTCTATTTTTCACTTTCGAGAAGAATGTGTTTAACCTGAAGCTATATAAACACTCCTTAAGACACCCTGTCATCTATATCTACACGTGCAATAATGTATCTGGTCAGAATACAGTCTCTTCTGACCATCTGATTCATCTCAAGAGAATTACTTTAACCAGAAAACACATAAACCACCCTTCACACACCCTGTAATCTAAATCTACCCATGCTTTGATGATGGATCTGGTCACAATACAAGTCTATTTCACCACTTGACCATTTCCAGACATTGCCATTAACCCGAAACCAAAAACACATGCCTAAGACATCCTGTAATCTAAATCTACCCATGTTGTGATGTATCTAGTCTTTTGACCACTAGACACCATTTCCAGAGAGTGAGTGAGTGATTGAGTGATTGAGTATGGTTTTACGCCGCTTTTAGCAATATTCCAGCAATATCACGGCAGGGGACACCAGAAATGGGCTTCACACATTGTACCCATGTCGGGAATCGAACCCGGGTTTTCGGCATGAAGAGTGAATGCTTTAACCACTAGGCTACCCGACCACCCCCATTTCCAGAAAGGGGCGGTCGGGTAGCTTAGTGGTTAAAGCGTTAGCTCGTCACGCCGAAGACCCGGGTTCGATTCCCGACATGGGTACAATGTGTGAAGCCCATTTCTGGTGTCCCCCGCCGTGATATTGCTGGAATATTGCTAAAAGCGGCGTAAAACCAAACTCACCCACCCACCACCACCATTTCCAGAAAATTACTTTAGGCAGAACCAGCACAAATCACCCTTAAGACACCCTGTAGATAAAACCTACCCATGCTATGGTGTATCTGGTCTGTTTGACCACAAGACCCATCTCAAAGGAATGACTTTCGGTAACAAACAACCAAATGTTTTCGCATAGGCTTCTATAGTAACGTTATATTTCTTTTAAAAATAACTAGGCATTCAAAAGCTATTACATGTTCATGTATGCACAGGCTGGCCTTAAAGCTGCAATAAAAACACCAATTTTGCCTAGGTCAGCTGGCTCGTTTTCCTAGTACAGGAAGCTGAACACACCAACCCCCGTTCCGCACCAAATGTCACCTACTTGAAAATATCTGTGCTCACACAAAGCACAAGTCATCTTGTTAAAAAAGTCAGCACCAAATATTGAAAAACATGGTGAGTTTTAATTACGGATGGACGGAGAGACGAGATGTCGCATTTTATGCGGGGGACAGACGGACGGACTGGGGGGAGACGAGATGTTGCATTATATGCAGGGGACGGACGGACAGACGAGATGTCGCATTATATGCAGGGGACGGACGGACAGACGGAGAGATGAGATGTCGCATTATATGCGGGGGACAGACGGACGGAGAGACGAGATGTCGCATTATATGCGGGGGACGGATGGACAGACGAGATGTCGCATTATATGCAGGGGACGGACGGACAGACGAGATGTCGCATTATATGCAGGGGACGGACGGACAGACGGAGAGATGAGATGTTGCATTATATGCTGGGGACAGACGGACGGAGAGACGAGATGTCGCATTATATGCGGGGGACATACGGACAGACGGAGAGACGAGATGTTGCATTATATGCTGGGGACAGACAGACGGACGGAGAGATGAGATGTCGCATTATATGCGGGTGACAGACGGACGGAGAGATGAGATGTCGCATTATATGCGGGGGACAGACGGACGGAGAGATGAGATGTCGCATTATATGCGGGGGACAGACGGACGGAGAGATGAGATGTCGCATTATATGCGGGGACAGACGGACGGAGAGACGAGATGTCACATTGTATGCGGGGGACGGACAGACGGACGGAGAGACGAGATGTCGCATTGTATGCGGGGGACGGACAGACGGACGGAGAGATGAGATGTCGCATTATATGCGGGGGACAGACGGACGGAGAGATGAGATGTCGCATTGTATGTGGGGGACGGACAGACGGACGGAGAGATGAGATGTCGCATTATATGCGGGGGACAGACGGACGGAGAGATGAGATGTCGCATTATATGCGGGGACAGACGGACGGAGAGACGAGATGTCACATTGTATGCGGGGGACGGACAGACGGACAGAGAGACGAGATGTCGCATTGTATGCGGGGGACGGACAGACGGACGGAGAGACGAGATGTCGCATTATATGCTGGACTCAGTGAGCTTTCTGGAACTGGTGGACTGGTGGGGTCGTCCCATTAGCCAGTGTTTTTGATATGCCGACAGATAATCTGCATGTTTAGATTAGCTTGTGCTTCTTTGATATTTCGACTATAGTCTGCATGAAGTAACCCCGAAATTGACATGATATACATTTATATACATATATACATCAATCAAAATTCTTTTAATTCATTTCTTCATTCTTCAATTCATTAAGATCAGTACCCAGTTCAATGTGGATGGCATCAAGGTTCTCTACAGCGCTGTTCTCCCCAGCAACAAATTGTTTTTTGTAAGGGTCAAGGTCATGTCCAAGTTGTCGGGATTTCTTTGTCTGCACATGGCTTGTACCACCTGCTTCGAGCTGAAGAACGGTAACTTCAAGGAAAGACTGTTCTGTCTTTATAAAGTCTAGAATCTTGAAGAGTGAGTGAGTGACTGAGGTTTAACGCCGCTTTTAGCAATATTCCAGCAATATCACGGCGGGGACAAGGGAACCCGGGTCTTCGGCGTGACGAGCGAATGCTTTAACCACTAGGCTACCCAACAGCCCAGAATCTTGAAGAGGTTAGCATTGGTACTGGCAGTTGAGATGATTGTGGCAGTTGTTGATGGCCAAGGTTGTTCAGGGTGTTGGTTGTGGAATGGCATGATCTCATACAACAACGCCAGTGGATTCTGTCTCCGTTTCTGGACATAAAACTAAATTTGTAGGCCAACTACACCAAATACTGTCCTTCATGATTGTTTGGAATAAAGAGGGGCACTTGTGTGTTTGCCATATTGCTATGCCATGCAATAGTCTATGACATCACATACTTATATCAAATTGAAGAAATCCGCTCACTAAAAATGAATTAATCTATAATCAGTATAAAATGCGTTCACTCAGCTTATCAGTCGGAGTAATTGATTACTGGCTGACATGAATTCACCAGGGTCCCTTTCACCAGAATAGACGATAGTCGGCATACTACCCTTAATCCGGATTACCTCGGATTATCCGACCGGCTACGTGGGTGGGACTAACCCGGGACTGGTACCCCTACATTATTTACAGAGTCCAATATATAAATGACAGGTCCATTTTTTTTATTTTATCTATTGGCGTTCAAGAACCAATGTTGAGTGAGTGAGTGAGTGAGTTTGGTTTTACGCCGCTTTTAGCAATATTCCAGCAATATCACGGCGGGGGACACCAGAAATGGGCTTCACACATTGTACCCATGTCGGGATTTGAACCCAGGTCTTCGGTGTGACGAGCGTGAACCAATGTTCATTGTGTCAGCATCTTGGACCTACACCGGAAACATGGGGAGACATCGAAAGAATTTGAAAACATCTTTTAAAGCACCACATATATGCTTGGAATTCAGCAAAGAAAAGCAAAGCAACTTTAAAGTGCCAAAAACTGTTAGGTCGACAACTGAGCTCCACAAGAAAGTGTGCAGTGTAGGGGTGGCTGGTGTCCAGCGAGTTCAAACACTTACAAGTGAGCTGTATTCTGTTAAGGAAGGAAAACACCCCCAAGGAGGATGAGAGTTCCCTGAAACCAAAACGTAAAAGGTAATAACACTTGAATCTATTTATTCCTTTGGCCCAGACTCTGAAATACTTGCAGGGAATAAAAGTGCTCAATGTTAAATGATTTTGGTGGCTAACCTTTCCAAATTCCAGTATTTGTCTTTTAATGAGGCCACTTCATAAACTTTCAATTTTATTGACAGTTTTCAGTTACAGTTCAGGTACAGTAAGGGATCAACTTCACATACATAGAAGTGTTTTTTTCAATACAATAAGAAAACAATGTTTGACACCCTTATTAAGGGCTTAAGGTGGATAGAAATAGAAACAGCATTTGATCTGCTAGGGGAGATAATTCAGAAATGTCGAAGACTATCACATGCTTAAAAAGGTTCATTAAGAATTTGACAAAGTAGTCAATGGTCTTTTTTAATCTGCAGGGTTGCTTCTTGTGTTTATCAGTGCTGCATGTCGGGGAGATGGGCTTTCCGTGAGCATGCCAAGACTTTGCTAATGTGTGGCGGTGACCTTGTCATGGATAGAGATAAGAACAGCCGTGGGGCTTTAACTGAACAGAGAGAGTTTAATGTACTGACGGCACCTGTCGAAGGACCTAAACTGTACAAGGAGGTAGTAGTCCATCTTCCACTGCCAATACGGGTGGTGAGGTGGGAAGGGGACGTCCATCTTCCACTGCCAATACGGGTGGTGAGGTGAGAAGGGGACGCCCATCTTCCACTGCCAATACGGGTGGTGAGGTGAGAAGGGGACGTCCATCTTCCACTGCCAATACGGGTGGTGAGGTGGGAAGGGGACGTCCATCTTCCACTGCCAATACGGGTGGTGAGGTGAGAAGGGGACGTCCATCTTCCACTGCCAATACGGGTGGTGAGGTGGGAAGGGGACGTCCATCTTCCAATGCCAATACGGGTGGAGAAGTAAGAAAAACTTCAAACTTAGTCACAATGAAAGTAACTTTCAAAATTTGCGAAAATGCATTGCGCCGGTCATTACCTCGGGATACAACCTCGTGATACAACCTCGTGATACAACCTCGGGATACAACTTCGGGATACAACCTCGGGATACAACCTTGTGATACAACTTCGGGATACAACCTCGGGATACAACCTTGTGATACAACTTCGGGATACAACCTTGTGATACAACCTCGTGATACAACCTCGTGATACAACCTCGAGATACAACCTCGGGATACAACCTCGGGATACAACTTCGGAATACAACCTTTGCTCGTAACTTCCATGGTAGAGCCCACAGTGCTGTCCATCGTGTCAACTGCAAAAGTCCGGCTAAGTCAATATGGAAACTTCGACTAGGGCTTGGGTGTGCTGTCAGGGTGAAAGGAAACATAGATGGTGAGATTACCAAAAGCCATAATTAAGAACCTAAAGCTAAGACATACAAGAAATCCCAGTAAGTAACGACTGCCATGCAAAGAAAAAGCTGGAATTATTCAAACTCCATCATTGTAAAAACAATTCGCAAGACGTACTCAGGCCACGAAAGGCTCAGGCCACAAAAGGCTCAGGCCACAAAAGGCTCAGGCCAAGACATACTCAGGCCACGAAAGGCTCAGGCCCAACTGATTCTGATTTAGTGTCGTAGAACCTTTAACCAGACACAGCACAAACACCCTTAACTCTTTCAACATAAGCCAACCAGAGTTATTTCCCTTGGTACATCAAGTTCCCACAGCCATTGAACGCCTGCACACCAAGTTCCCAGAGACTTGTTGAAGAGAAGTATTCCTGTTTCTTTAAACTGTTCTGGTATATTTATGTTTGTGGCAATACCAACAAGCTACCTATCACTGCAATGCCCAGATTGTGTAGTACTTGAAAATTCATGAAAAAATGTTTTAATTTCTACCATTCTTTAATTAAAGGAAATCACAGGTGAACAATCAGTGAAAAACAGACAACGTAACAGATTAGGAAGCCATAAATAGATTGTAACAGAAAATGTGATAACAGTGAATAAATAGTGTCTTCTGACCTTCGGGCAGCAGGAAGAAAGTCATCTTCCCGAGGCAAGGGAGTTATCTGACTATAAAAGTCCAGTTTCCACCCTTGCATAAATAGGCTCGAAGTCTGGAGTTACATTGTGGCTGGACTAATGAGTCTTTGCATAGTCCAATGAAAATCGCATAAGAAACTAGACATCCGGTTCATAAACAACATGGATTCCATCGTGCAGCTTTCGTTCGACTGCAGGATTTCAAGAGCATGTGTACTGTCAACTGGGCGTAAGACCCATTTTATTACAATATAGATCTTGATTATAGATCAGATCATCTTGACTATGTGCCGCCATATCGTTTGAAGCAAATGGAAGTGATACGAGAGGGAGGTGGAAACTGACTGGTCAGTTGGAGGGACGTAGAAGGGCCATAACACGTAACTGCCACTGGTGGCGCTAGGATCGAGCCATGAAATTCCAGCGTAGTTCGGTAAGGGTGGAAACAGGACTTTTATAGTCAGTTAATTCCCTTGCCTCAGGAAGATGGAGGAAAGTAGGTGACCCAGGCGTTGCACAGGTGAGAACTGATATGGAGATGTGGAGGTGCTTCACCTGAAACATTAAATAAAACATTTGTCAAATAATACAGGTTTGATTTTGGTAACATGACTGCAATTTAACCTTGTTGTGTTATATTTTTCAGTGGAACAACAGAACAGGTGTGTAATGGCTGCTGCTGCTGCCTACTTGAGGTATACTCGTTAGGCCAGGTAAACTGGTTAGCCAAGGTAGGTAAATGTGAGAAATAACACAAAAGGTTAAAACAAATTAGAATGTTATCATGTAGCATACAAAGACAATAGGATCTAATTATATTTACATCAATAGACAGCATAGGTTACTGAAGTTGCTTGATTGGCAGGTGCGTTGAAAGTGGATTATCTCCCTTGGATGTGGCAGTGTTCTTCATCTGAAAATATAACAAAGGATTTTAACAGTTTTTCTTGTTGAATAGTTGAAATATGAATGCTTTTGAGTTATATGAATGTTATATTTGATCCTAGAAAAATAAAAGTTCATATTTTGCAGCAGCAACACCCCAAAAATATCATCTCGTTAACTTTGGTTAACGAGACAGGTGAAAAAAAAGAGAGGAAAAAATACAAAAGGCTGAAATAAATCACTTAACTATCCAATATCATACACAGACAGCGAACTAATATGTTTTCAAACACCAGATGGCACAGGTGACAGTAGGTGGTGGACTGACAGGTGTTGAAAGTGTGGATTATCTCCCTTTGACTATTCTTCACCTAACATGAAAATTGAAAAAATAATAATAATACTTTGATGACTTGTTTGGTTCTACGATTTTGTATTTGAGATCAGGCTGAGTAGAACTGTTTGGATTGTTTGTTTGTTTGTTGATGCTACAAACAGCAATATTCCAGCTCTATGACAGTGATCTGTAAATCATCGACCAGACGGTCCAGTGATTGACATCAAGAGTATTGATCCAAGCATTTAGAATACGATGACATGCATCAACCAACACACATACATATATTTATTTTGTTTGTTTGGTGTTTAACGCTGCACTCAGCAATATTCCAGCTATATGACGGCGGTCTGTAAATAATCGAGTCTGGACCAGACAATCCAGGTTCACTCACAAATTCCTTGCGGTCACGCCCACAATCTTAGTCCTTGTTCCAAACTCATACAGAAAATCCCGGAGGAAAATATTCCATGAAGCCTTCGAAACCATCGTCGTCATCGTCGCGAAACAGTTTGCAAAAAATTTCCCGTTCGCCCTCAGGATTTAGTTCAAGCAAATCAAAACCCACCACGAATTCAATAAAATCATTGTCTGACATCTCATCGCTATATGAATCATGACTTGCAGCCATTACACACGTATGTTCAAAGTCAAATCACAACACAAAGTTTACGTTCAGAAAATTCAGCTATCTAAAGAAACTTTCTAAATAAACATCCTGTAATACATCAACTCTTGTTTCCGGTAGTCACATGACTTGTAAACGCGAGTAAATGATGTATAATTATTTTTTGTTGTTTACTTGTATACACACTGGCCGGTAGACCAGCCTATGGTGTCTGAAGAGTCATGACATCTTGGCTGGTCTACTGGCCTACAGTGTTGAAAGAGTTAAGACACCCTGTAATCTAAATCTACTCATGCTATGATGTATCTGACCACTAAACAACAGAACTGCCTCCGTGGTCTGGTGGATAGAGCGTCTGCCCGAAGGGCGAAACTATATGACTTTAACTATAAACACCACAAACCACCCTTAAGACACCCTGTAATCTAAATCTACTCATGCTATGATGTATCTGACCACTAAACAACAGAACCGCCTCCGTGGGCTGGTGGATAGAGCGTCTGCCTGAAGGGCGGAACTATATGACTTTAACTATAAACACTACAAACCACCCTTAAGACACCCTGTAATCTAAGTCTACTCATGCTATGATGTATCTGACCACTAAACAACAGAACCGCCTCCGTGGTTTGGTGGATAGAGCGTCTGCCCGAAGGGCAAAAGGCCGGGGATTTGATATGTAACTGTGTCATAACAAGGACATTAAAGAATGGTACTTGTTGTTACCCTGCCTGGTGCTAGGCAATAAGGGGCTAAAACAAGGACTGGTCCTCTTGGAGTCAGTATACTGTGTCTGAGTTGTGTATTCATGTTAAAGTGTGAAATGGTATCTCAGTGGGATACCACAATAAAATTGGCATAAGTTCCGTCTAGTACAAGTAGCCACACACAAACATCCATGAATGTTGCTATATAAGTGCAATAATCTTGCACCCCCTTTCACCTCACATCACTAAAAAACAGTCTATTTGACTACTTGATCCATGTCCAGAGACTGACTTTAACAAGAAACACCACAAACCACCCTTAAGACAACCTGTAATCTATATCTACCTCTGCTATGATATGTCTGATCACAGAACAGAGTCTATTTGACCACTTGATCCATGTCCAGAGAATGACTTTAACTATAAACACCACAAAGCCACCCTTAAGGCACCCTGTAATCTATATCTACCCATGACATGATGTATCTGATGACAGAACAGAGTCTATTTGACCACTTGATCCATGTCCAGAGAATGACTTTAACTATAAACACCACAAAGCCACCCTTAAGGCACCCTGTAATCTATATCTACCCATGACATGATGTATCTGATCACAGAACAGTGAGTGAGTGAGTGAGTGAGTGAGTGAGTGAGTGAGTGAGTGAGTGAGCGAGCTCTGATACTCTAGTCGCTGTTGCCATGGCAAGCAAACTAGGTAGTCTTGGACGCCTGCAGAAGAGTTGCTTTATATACACAGACTCATAGAGTGCCTCCATTGGGCACACAGGACCACAGCCAGATTCCACTTGGAAAATGTGCCGGGCATTTTAATATTCTCCAGTTGAAATTATTTCATGAGGCCAATGTGCAGCTGATCCTGGCTGTTCCCAACTCAGACGTCTGACTTTGACAATCTGTGATCCAACAAATAAAAAATAATGGTCAGGGTCAAGACAAAAACTTCAAATATCCTCCTCAGGACAACAGACCAAAGGGAGCTTACTCTTCCACCAAATGTTGCAAATTACCTCCCCCTTGTCTACAGTTGAGAAACTGTTGTTTGTTTGTCACAGTCGCAGATATTCCAGCTACATGACATCTCCATCTTTATGAATAATTGGAGCAAACCCCTCAGCTCAAACAAGGCAAACCTGCGAAGACTTTGAGGCAGCATTCTTCGTACTCACAGACATATCAACCAGAGGAGGACTTTAACCAAAAACAAAACACAAAACACCCTGAAGACACCCTGTAATCTAAATCTACAAAGCTATGATGTATCTGGTCAGTATACAGTCTATTTGACCACTTGACCCATCTCAAGAGGAGGACTTTAACCAAAAACAACAAAAAACACCCTGAAGACACCCTGTAATCTAAATCTAACAATGCTATGATGTATCTGGTCAGTATACAGTCTATTTGACCACTTGACCCATCTCAAGAGGAGGACTTTAACCAAAAACAATACAAAACACCCTGAAAACACCCTGTAATCAAAATCTACAATTGCTATGATGTATCTGGTCAGTATTCAGTCTATTTGACCACTTGACCCATCTTAAGAGGAGGACTTTAACCAAAAACAACACAAAACACCCTTAAAACACCCTGTAATCTAAATCTAATATGCTATGATGTATCTGGTCAGTATACAGTCTATTTGACCACTTGACCCATATCAAGAGGAGGATTTTAACCAGAGACACCACAAAGCACCCTGAAGACACCCTGTTATCTAAATCTAACCATGTCATTATGGATCTGGTCAGTATACATAGTCTATGACACCACTTGACCCATATCAAGAGGTGGATCTTAACCAGAAACAACTCAAAACACCCTTAAGACACCCTGTAATCGAAATCTACCCATGCTGTGATATATCTGGTCGTCGCCATTTATTTGACCACTTGGCCCATGTCCAGACAATGCTGTGAACCTGAAGCTACATCGAACACCCTGTTACACACCCTGTAATCTAAATCTACCCATGCCCTGATGTATCTGGTCAGTTGGTTGGTTTGTTGTTTAACACCGCACTCAGCAATATTCCAGCTATATGACGGCGGTCTGTAAATAATCGAGTCAGGACAAGACAATCCAGTGATTGATATCATGAGGATCGATCCAGGCAATTGGGATCGATGACATGTATCAACCAAGTCGTCGAGCCTGACCAAGTGATCCCGTTAGTCGCCTTTTACGGCAAGCATAGGTTGCTGAAGACCTATTCTACCTCGGAATCTTCATGGGTCTGGTCAGTATACAGTCTATTTGACCACTTGACCCATTTCAAGAGGCGAAACTGTTATCTAAATCTCACCTTGCTATGATGTATCTGGTCAGTATACATAGTCTATTTGACCACTAGACCCATCTAAAGAGGAGGACTTTAGCCAGAAACAACTCAAAACACCCTTAAGGTTACACACAACCAAATGTTTTCCCATAGACTTCTATAGTAACGTTATATTTTTTCTTAAAATAACTAAGCATTCAACAGCTATTACCTGTAAACACACCACCCCCAGTTTCGCACCAAATGTCACCTACTTGAAAATAGCTGTGGTCATATTCAGCATAAGTCATCATGTTGAAAAAGACAGTACTAAATTTAGAAAAACATGGTCAGTTTCAATAACTGGATGGATGTACATTTGAAAGACATAAAAATCTTACAGAATATCCTCCATTCACAGCCTGCAGATATCTCTCGATCTGCACTGAAGGCTCCCTACGAAAACCGCACTGTCCAAACTGGTTCTGATTTGGTGTAGTAGAACCTGTAGACAAATCAGAATACAATTGCACTTGTCAAATCTGTGATTTATGTATTGTATATATATGTAGCTTCTCAGAAAAAAAATGGAAATTGGATTAAACTTCACTACTTGTTCCAATCCAGCATGTCTATATGGCACCGGAATACATAGTTTTGATGCACAGAAAGAGTTGTGAGAGTTTAATGATGTACACTTCATCAATGTTTTACAAAAGGTATTTCTGTATTAATAAAGAAGTTTCTACCTTCATGCACTGACCAGTTAATTCATATTTCATAAAAGAAGGGGGTCAAGGGTCAATTCTATAAATGACTGAGGCTGCATAGATCATATCACCCTAAAAAAAATTTTCAACTAAAAAAATGGAACAAATCTTTAAACCTCAAAACCAGTAAGAATACATATTTAAAATTGAGTAGTGGTCTGTTGTTTGCCTTCCTTTGCTGACATCATCAGAACATAGCAGAGTCTGCTACATTCATGGAATATGGTTTTGACACTCATGACCTGATGCGATTGATATTGTTTGAGATTGCTCGAACTTACACCATCCATTGTTTATATAAT